AAACTTTATCCCCAAAATGTAACAGCATTAAGAGGTGAGGCCTTTAAGAGGCAAAGGGGGCTGGGAGCAGTGGCTCACACCTATAATCCCAGCTACTAGGGAGGCTGAGGCAGGAGATTTGCTTGAACCTGGTGAGGTGGAGATTGCAGTGAGCTGAGATGGCACCACTGCCAGCCAGCCTGGCTAACAAAGTGAGACCCTGTCTCAAAAAGAAAAGGGCATCCTGACCAGGTGACCTCAGGCCCTGCTTTGGCTGGAGCCCAGGCCCCTGGAAGGCAGAGAGGCCAGGCACAGGCAGCAAGAATAGAGCCTCCCTTTCTCCACATGGCGTCCTTTCCCATGCAGGCCTCAGCCTGGCTCAACAGAATTATGCCTGTGGACATTCCACGGCCAGACCCAAACAGGAACCTACAAAATCCTTTTTTTTTTTTTTTTTTTTGAGATGGAGTCTGCTCTGTCACCCAGGCTAGAGTGCAGTGGTGCAACCTTGGCTCACTGCAACCTCCATCTCCTGGGTTCAAGCAAGTCTGCCTCAGCCTCCCAAGCACGTGCCACCCACGCCCAGCTAATTTTTGTATTTTTTTTTTTTTTTTTTTTTTGAGACGGAGTCTCGCTCTGTCGCCCAGGCTGGAGTGCAGTGGCCAGATCTCAGCTCACTGCAAGTCCAATTTGTATTTTTAATTGAGACAGGGTTTCAGCATATTGGCCCAGCTGGTCTCTAACTCTTGACCTTAAGATCCACCCACCTCAGCTTCCCAAAGTGCTGGATTACAGTGTGAGCCACTGCGTCCGGCCCTCCAAAAATCCTTTATTTAGCCAATCCCATGTTGAAGAATATTAAATCGACCTCTTTTTTTTTGTCACTTGCACCTTTTTCAGCATCCCTCTTTTTAGCTAACTCATTAGAAGCAATACATCTGTGAGGGCCAGGCGCGGTGGCTCATACCTGTAACCCCAGCACTGGGGAGCAAGGCGGGCGGGCATCACGAGGTCAGGAGATCAAGACCATCCTGACTAACATGGGAAACCCCGTCTCCTACTAAAACATACACGAAAAATTAGCTGGACATGTGCGGGCGTCCTGTTAGTCCCAGCTACTCTGGGAGGACGAGGACAGAGAATGGTGGACACCGGAGGCAGGTTCGCTGGAAGCGGATCACGCGCCACTGCGCACCCCGCCTGGCTGACAGAGTGGATGATCTGTCTCAAAAAAAAACAAAAAAAAAAGAAGCATACATCCGTGAACACCACTGCTCCAAGATGCCCATCACCACCAATATTACTTTTTACATATATCAAATAATTTCTCTATAATGATGATATTTATGTTATATAGATGTTTTACTATAATTGTTTATATAATATATTTGTTTTATATATATAGGTATATACATATAGCTATACAATATATATATAGTTGTTTTTTTTTTTTTCGTCTGCTCCTCCCCGCCGCGCGCAATCTCTGCTCACGCCACACATCTGCCTCCGGGCTTGTCCAAGTATCCCTGCTGCCCTCCAGCCGCTCAACCGAAGTAGTCTGGGACCTACAGGCTCACGCTACCACCAGCCTATTTTTTTTTTCTCTTTTTGAGTGGGAGTTTCACTCTTGTTGCCTAGGCTGGAGTGCAATGGTGCAATCTCGGCTCACCACAACCTCCGCCTCCCAGGTTCAAATGATTCTCCTGCCCCTCAGCCTCCCGAGTAGCTGGGATTACAGGCATGCACCACCACACCCAGCTAATTTTGTATTTTTAGTAGAGATGGGGTTTCTCCATGTTAGTAAGGCTGGTCTCAAACTCCTGACCTCAGGTGATCCACCTGCCTCAGCCTCCCAAAGTGCTGGGATTACAGGCGTGAGCTACCATGCCCAGTGAGCTACTTATATTTTCTATTGCAATGTAAATTGATTCAACTCTGTTAACATGAAATAGTGTCTGTTTTTGTGCCACTGAAAGTCATCCCCAGGTCAGCTTGCAGTACACGATGCTTACCTGGGGAGACAGTGGAGTCATCCCCTCACAGATAGAGACTGAATGCCTCCTGTGTGGGGGGCACCCAAAGGGGTCCTCTACCCCCAGATGCAGGGCCACATCACCTTGTTCCCAAAGTCAGTCCTCTCCTCTCAAGCACACTTTCCCTCCCAGCCTCTGCCAGGACCTTCCCCACAAGTGACCATGCCTCCCCTCCCACCTGTAGACATACAAGCACATTCTGAGGATGTTAAGCCGACCAGATGGGGCAGAGCTCAGCTTTGGGGTCGACTGAGTTTAATCCCAACTCAACCTTGTCCAGCCGGCGACTCTCTGTGGCTGTTTGGCCATCTATAAAAGGAGATATGAATAATCCCTGCCTCTCAGGCCTGTGCTGTGACTCTAAGGAGGTAATGAAGGTAAGGAGCAGTGGTGCCGCAGCCTAGATGCTCACAGAGTGCCCAGTAAGCCAAGGCAGCCGGGCGAGTGTGGAAGAAGACGGCCCGTGGCTGGGCATCATCAACAGTCCCCATTCCAGCCGTTGTCTCAAATCAGCTACCTCTTGCCCTGTAGTAAATGCAGAGTGTGATTGTTGTCAAATCCAGTTCTGCTCAAGGTCAAGGTCATCTTTTTGGTTTTTTTTTTGAGACGGAGTCTCGCTCTGTTGCCCAGGCTGGAGTGCAATGGCGCAATCTCGGCTTACTGCAAGCTCCGCCTCCTGGGTTCACACCATTCTGCTACCTCAGCCTCCCGAGTAGCTGGGACTATAGGCCCCCACCACCACGCCCAGCTAATTTTTTTGTATTTTTAGTAGAGACGGGGTTTCACCGTGTTAGCCAAGACTTGATCTCCTGACCTCGTGATCCACCTGCCTCGGCCTCCCAAAGTGCTGGGGTTACAGGTGTGAGCCACCGCGCCAAGCCTTTTTTTTTTTTTTTTTTTTTTTTTTTATATGGACTCTTGCTCTGTTGCCCGGGCTGGAGTGCAGTGGTGCAATCTCAGCTCACTGCAGCCTCCGCCTCCCAGGTGCAAGCGATTCTCCTGCCTCAGCCTCTCAAGTAGCTAATATTACAGTCATGTGCCATCACATTTGGCTAATTTTTGTTCTTTTGGTAGAGACAGGGTTTCACCATATTGGCCAGGCTGGTCTCCAACTCCTGACCTCAGGTAATCTGCCCACCTCGGCCTCCGAAAGGGCTGGGATTATAGGCGTGAGCCACAGCACCCAGCCAGAAGGATGAATTTCACAAACATTATGTTAAATCATAGAAACAAGGGCCAGAAGCACATACCGTATAATCCCAGGTATAAAGCAGTCCAGAGGCTTGGTCGTGACTCTGTGGTGATAGGAGTCAGAAAAGTAGTTGGCAATGTGCTATCTGCTGTTGACTGGATAGGAACAAGAGGGAACTTCCTGGGGTGTTGGAAATACTTTATACTTTGGTCTGGGTTATGTTTACACAAGCATATACATATGTAAAAAATTTGCTAGGTGCGGTAGTTCACGCCTGTAATCCCAGCCCTTTGGGAGGCCAAGACAGGAGGATCACTGGAGGCCAGGAGTTGGAGACCAGCCTGGCCAACATAGTGAGACTCCGTCTCTACAAAAAATTTAAATTTAAAGAAAAAAAAGGCTGGGCGTGGTGGCTCACGCCTGTAATCCCAGCACTTTGGGAGGCCGAGGCGGGTGGATCACGAGGTCAGGAGATCAAGACCATCCTGGCTAACACGGTGAAACTCTGTCTCTACTAAAAATACAAAAAATTAGCCGGGTGTGGTGGCGGGCGCCTGTAGTCCCAGCTACTCGGGAGGCTGAGGCAGGAGAATGGCGTGAACCTGGGAGGTGGAGCTTGCAGTTGAGATCGTGCCACTGCACTCCAGTCTGGGAGACACAGCAAGACTCCGTCTCAAAAAAAAAAAAAAATTAGGTTGGGCGTGGTGGCTCCCGCCTGTAATCCCAGGACTCTGGGAGGCCAAGGGGGGTGGATCACCTGAGGTCAGGAGTTTGAGACCAGCCTGGTCAACACGGTGAAACTCCATTTCTACTAAAAATACAAAAAATTAGCCTGGCATGGTGGTGCGTGCCTGTAATCCCAGGTGCTCGGGAGGCTGAGGCAGGAGAATTGCTTGAACCCAGGAGGTTGAGCTGGCAGTGAGCTGACATCGCGCCACTGCACTCCTGCCTGGGCGACAGAGCGAGACTCCGTCTCAATAAATAAATAAATAAGTAATGTAAAACTTCCATCGAGTTGCACGGTTTTCATACCCTTTAATGTAATGTTTTGCTTCAATTAAATACCTAATAATTGACGATGACGGCGAGCAATCACTGAGTACCAGGTTCTAGGCAGTGTCCTTAGACCCTAACGCCACGGCCTGGTAATGTCTGGTTCGTGTGACCTCCAAGGCACAGGGAACGCGTTTTCGCAAAGGACTGAGGCGAGTACGCAGGCCTGCCGGGGAAGGAGCCCCGGGCTGGCTCGCGGGACTGGCAGGTAAGCGACCCACGTGGTGGCCCGGTGGCCCGAGCGCGTCCACGGCAGAGGCACGGGCGCGGCCGGCGGAGGTGCCTCGGCCCCTGCGGCCCCAGCCCCCGCCCGCGACGCTCCTGCTGGAGCCCCGCCCGTGCCCGCGGGAGAGACCGGCCAATGGGCAGCCGGCCTGGGCCGGGTCACTCCGTGAAGGGGCTCGTCACCTAGGCTGACCACTCGCTTCCAATGGGTGAGCGGCCCCGCGGCCGCCCGGGAGCACCGGCCTTGCGCCTGCGCTACTCTCCCCTCTGCAGCATTTCCGCAGCGAGCACTTCACTCCGAATGCCGGTTGGCGCCCTGCCAGCCAATCACCGGGGCGCCCCGAGCCCGGTAGCCAATGATCGCACGCCTCCCCGCACCGGCCCGCGCCGATTGGCGCTGACCTCCCGCAGCCCGCGGGAGGCGGGGGCGGATTGGCGAAGGTGCAGACCAATGGGTGGTGGGCGCGAGGCGCGGAGCCAATGAGCGCCCCGGGGGCGGGGAGGGCGCCGCGGCGGGCGGCTGCGAGGAGCGGCCGGCGGGCGGCAGCGGCCGGCGGGCGGCGATGGCGGCGGCGGCGGAGGCCGGTGGCGACGACGCCCGCTGCGTGCGGCTGAGCGCCGAGCGGGCACAGGCGCTGCTGGCCGACGTGGACACGTTGCTGTTTGACTGCGACGGCGTACTGTGGCGCGGGGAGACGGCCGTGCCTGGCGCTCCCGAGGCCCTGCGGGCGCTGCGGGCCCGCGGCAAGCGCCTGGGCTTCATCACCAACAACAGCAGCAAGACCCGCGCTGCCTACGCCGAGAAGCTGCGGCGCCTGGGCTTCGGCGGCCCCGCGGGGCCCGGCGCCGGCCTGGAGGTCTTCGGCACGGCCTACTGCACCGCTCTCTACCTGCGCCAGCGCCTAGCCGGCGCGCCCGCGCCCAAGGCCTATGTGCTTGGCAGCCCGGCCCTGGCCGCCGAGTTGGAGGCCGTGGGCGTCACCAGCGTGGGCGTGGGGCCCGAGCCACTGCAGGGCGAGGGTCCCGGTGACTGGCTGCACGCGCCGCTGGAGCCCGACGTGCGCGCAGTGGTGGTGGGCTTTGACCCGCACTTCAGTTACATGAAGCTCACCAAGGCCCTGCGCTACCTGCAGCAGCCCGGCTGCCTGCTCGTGGGCACTAACATGGACAACCGGCTTCCGCTGGAGAACGGCCGCTTCATCGCGGGTCCGTGCGCCCTGGGGCGGGAGGCTGGGGGGCGGGCGGCGGGCCCCCTTCCCGCCCTTTGACCCGGTCCCCTGTGCCCCGCAGGTACCGGCTGTCTGGTCCGAGCCGTGGAGATGGCCGCCCAGCGCCAGGCCGACATCATCGGGAAGCCCAGCCGCTTCATCTTCGACTGCGTGTCCCAGGAATACGGCATCAACCCCGAGCGCACCGTCATGGTGGGAGACCGCCTGGACACAGACATCCTCCTAGGCGTCACCTGTGGCCTGAAGACCATCCTGACCCTCACCGGAGTGTCCACTCTAGGAGATGTGAAGAATAATCAGGAAAGTGACTGCGTGTCTAAGAAGAAAATGGTGCCTGACTTCTATGTTGACAGCATAGCCGACCTTTTGCCTGCCCTTCAAGGTTAAAGATTGGGTGTCTTTAATCTCCAGAATAAAAAAAAAAAAAAAAAAAAAAATTGAAAACCAGTTACCCAAATTAATAGGTGGGGCTTAGGCATCTGCTCAGCTAAGTGGCTTCAAGGAGTGTAATTGGAGTTAAGCAAAGGCATTCATTGTTAACCTTGTAAGTACACATTTGGGGGACGATTTTGTTTACAGATGATTGTAATCGAAGATGCACTTTCAGGCTTGGAAGGCATTGTGGCGTCGGGGGGGGCAGGCTCAGCACCTGTCTGGGATTCAGGTAACCGAGGCGGGTCTAGGGGTGTGTGTCCTGTATTTTATGGAAAAACTCATTCAGGGATCCAGCCCCTCAGGGGGCGGAGGGACTGATAGACTATTGGAAGAGGCTTGCATGGACCAGGGTCCCATCAGTGTGACTGGAAGTCCGGCGGAGCCTTCTGTGTTCCTGTGCCTCCCAGCAGGGAGAGAGTGGAGGAGGAGGCTGCTCCCAGGTGGCATCTCCCTGCCACTGGGTACAAAGTGCTGCCCTCACCACCCTCCCGCCTCCCCTACTTCCTTGAAAACCACTCTGATGTCACAACTGAGTGTCTGTTCCGTTTCAGATACCCAGGGCTGCTGCCCAGTTCTGTAAATGCAGCCCAGCTAAACCTCTTGCTGTCTCAAGTGTGCATTTAAACCCAGGTGATTTGGACTGAGCAGCCGCGATGGCGTGAACGCCTTCGCTGAACTCAGGGCTGCAGTGCAGGGAGCTCAGAGCAGTGCTGCTACCAAACAGTTTTTAACTTTGAACAACTGTGTCAGGCAATGGAGTTGAATCTTAAGTGTGTTAATAGCTGTGCTCTGTGTCGTAGGGAAAATCCCACTGAAGGAGCCTCTGTGCCCTGCAGCCAGTAGCACGGCTGAAGCATGTGTTGGCCGAGGAATGCCTGTCATCCAGGTGCCCTGCATTCGGCAGCGCCGCTGAAGCATGTGTTGGCCTAGGAATGCCTGTCAGTCATCCAGGGCTCTGGGAGGGGAGGGGAGGAGAGTTGTGTCCCCGAGAACAGCAAGTCCTTTACAAACCATCCAGTCTCTTCCAGTCCTCCCATTCCCTAGGTTGGGGTAGGGGTTAGAGGCTGGTGGCCCAGGAGGTCACCTGCCTTGCCCTGGATTCCCTCTTCAGTGGCCAGGAGGAGGACTTGGCAGGGCCACCAGCTCGCCAAGGTTCTGGGCGGGGCTCTGGTCTCTCCTGCCTGCTCCTTTGCTCTGCTGACCTTTCACAGGCCTGACAGCAGACTCAGCAAGGCCATCCTAGGACAGTCACCTTCTGGCTGGCTCCCTACCAGCACCTTGCCCGGCAGCTTCTCTCTTGGCCCCATAGTCACAACACTCCACTTGGTCACAAAGACTTCAGAGCAATAAGGGGCGTCCTGAGCCTTCAGCACCTCCCAGGCCTGGGATGTCAGGTTTAGAGGGTGCTGCGGAGCAGCATAAGGGCGGCTGTGCCCATGAGGCTGGTGGCACTGACGCTGGCTTGGCTAGGTAGGCTCAAGCCGGGTCTGGCCTGGCAGGGTGCAGTCACACCAGGAGTGCATGGCATATCCAGGAGTGCATGGGAGGTGCAGCCTCAGTGATGCCTCTCTTGCCGGGTGGGGGCTAGGAGTCCCTATGTGCCCTGTCTCTAGCCCATGAGGGGCTGCGGCACTGTCTGCACCAGAGCACAGATTAAACTCTCAAACCCACACTGGCTCGGGTGTCCTTGCTCTCGCCTTGCATTGGCCCGGGCGATGCCGTCTCGCCGCGGGTGGGAGGATTCAAAGTAGATGGGTAGCTGGGGTTCCAACTCTGGAGCTGGAATGGCAACTGCCCACTCCTGGCCTGGGTCAGAGGAAGATGTTCTGGAGAATGAGGGAAAGCCAGGCACAAAGGGAAACCAGGGAAGGAAAAGGCCTCAGAGTGAAGCTGGTGGGCTGCCATGGCAGAGAGCCCAGGGCAGGGAGCAGAGGTCAGAAGTAATTCTGGGCCGGGCGCGGTGGCTCACACCTGTAATCCCAACACTTTAGGAGGCTGAGGCAGGTGGATCACTTGCGGTCCGGAGTTCAAGACCAGCCTGGCCAAAATGGTGGAAACCCATCTCTACTAAAAATACAAAAATTAGGCCGGGCGCGGTGGCTCAAGCCTGTAATCCCAGCACTTTGGGAGGCCGAGACGGGCGGATCACGAGGTCAGGAGATCGAGACCATCCTGGCTAACACAATGAAACCCCGTCTCTACTAAAAATACAAAAAAATTAGCCGGGCGTGGTGGCGGCGCCTGTAGTCCCAGCTACTTGGGAGGCTGAGGCAGGAGAATGGCGGGAACCCAGGAGGCGGAGCTTGCAGTGAGCCGAGATCGCGCCACTGCACTCCAGCCTGGGCGACAGAGCGAGACTCTGCCTCAAAAAAAAAAAAAAAAAAAATACAAAAATTAGCGGGACATGGTGGCATATATCTGTAATCCCAGCTACTCAGGAGGCTGAGGCGTGAGAATTGTGTGAACCCAGGAGACAGAGGTTGCAGTGAGCCGAGATCACGCCACTCCACTCCAGCCTAGGGGACACAGCAAGACTCCCATCTCAAAAAAAAAAGTGCTGGGCGGGCCCCCGAGGCTGGCCTGACTATTGTGGGGGCACAGGCACAGCAGGCTGCCTGTCTGTGGTCCAGCCTTCAGGAACCCCCTGGACTTGGGTGTGTGGGGGCTGGGAAGTGGCTGGGGGTGCATAGTCCCACGCCTGTCATTCACTGAGCAGGCATTTATTGACAGCTTGTGGTGTGTCAGGCCCTGTGCCCAGCTCTGGGAGTCAAGAGTAACCTGAGAGACTCATGCCACTTTAGGAAAACGAAATCCACCCCAACCACACTTAGTGAGTCGCCCTGGCCGGGCCTGGACTGCCCTCCAGTCGGTCAGCTGGACTGGATTTCTACTCGGCCCAGCCCTATGCCTCCCAGACCCTGATCTCCAGTCTGCACAGGCCAGGTGTCTGGAGCCGGGCCTGGTGACAGGCATCCCCCAGGTGGGAGGAGGGGACTGTCCTGGCTCTGACCTGGATATCAGATCCGGAGCTGAGGGAGAGGCGCGGGGTCGGGAGGGAGGCGTTCTGAGTTTCCCCGGCCAAGGCTGCAGACAAGGGGCGCAGACAATCGGCACATTGTGAGCAGGGGCTGCAGGATGAAGCCAGCGAACTGCCGCGCTGAGTGCCCCAAACCTGGGCCTACAGGGGTGAGTGCCTCCCATCACTCCTGCAGCAAGGACCCAGGGGGTGCCCCCGGCCACCCAGCCCCTCCCTTCCCCAGCCCACTGGCTCCCTGATCTCTAAACCCCATGACCCTTCTGACCCTAATGCGCCCCCAGGTGAAGACCAAGCCCACCTGTGGGGGCTGGAGAGCCACGGGCCTATCCCTGCTGCTGCTGCTCCTGGCACTGGCCACTGCGGGAGCTGTGGCTGGAGGGCTTCTTGGCTTCGCTCAGGGCCCTCCCAAGGTGAGCCCCTCCTCAGCACCAGGGATGTGGACAGTGAAAAGGGGAAAGGGAAGCTGGCACATCCCAGCCTCCAGCAGAGCCAGGGTGCAGAGCAGGCAGTGACCGCCTGGGAGCAGACGGCCAGAGGTGGAAGGGCCCACTCGGGGATGTCAGGAGTCCTGCAGCCCAGAGCTGGCGGCTGTGCTGGGGTTGTCCAGCTGCCCAGCTGAACTCCAACTCCCACTGCCAGCCAAGGCTGCAGACACTGCGAATGACCCTCCCAAGCCCCCACATGCCCCGGCCCAACCAAACCATCCTGGTGGACGTGGCCCGGAACGCAGCGACCATCACAGTGACCTCACCTCAGAGCAACCACAGCTGGGTGGTGCTGTTCGACGGGCAGAGCGTGAGTGGGCAGGGAGGGGTCACGTCACCCTTGCAGGTGTCGGTCGGGGTGGCCCTGCCTCACCTCCCTGCCTCCCCAGGGCTGCATCTGTTACCGCCCTGAGGAGCACCAGGCCTGCTTCCTCCGCCTGATGGAGGACAGTGATCGGGAGACCCTGCGGCTGCTGATGGATACCTCCAAGGTGAGCCATCCTGCTGGGCACAGCCCCTCACCAGGGGCTAGACAAAGGGTCCTGTGTGCAGCTGGGCACAGGATAGGCTGGAGCTCTGGTTTCAGGGAACAGGAAGCTCTCTCCACCCTGAGCCCAGGCTGCTGACAAGAGCAGAGGGTGGGGACATCACGGGGGGTTGGGAGGTACCCAGCCCCGCCCAGCCAGGAGTAGGGAGCAGCCCTGTCCCACAGCCCACCAGAGCCTTCTCAACAGGTCCAAGAGCCTTGGGGCCCTGCCCAGGACACCCAACACACCCAGGAGCTGCTGGCAGTGCAGGGGAGCCACGAGGTGGACCCTGCCCAGGTGGGGGATTTGGTGCAGCGCCTGTGCACAAGGACCCCCATCTACTGGGCCCGGCGAGCAGAGGGTGAGTCAGGGCCGCTGTGGGGGAGACCAGGCCCTCGGGATGGTTTGATGAGCTGGGGGCGGAGCCCTTGGGGATTCACGGCACCCTCGCCACAGGGCCCCGGAGACAGCGGCTGATTTATCTGTGCATCGACATCTGCTTCCCAAGCAACATCTGTGTGTCAGTCTGCTTTTATTACCTCCCAGACTGAGCCCCGACCTGGCCCAGCCCGGTCCCTGTCCCCAATCCAGCGGGCTGGCCAGGTCACCCGCACCAGGGAGGACAGCTGCCGGCAGGGACTAATAAACCCTTCCACCTGGCCACAGTGGTGTTCTCTGTGGACTAAGGCCCTGAAACGCGGCAGGGAGGGGACAGGAAACGCACTAGCTTAGGGGTGGGCACCAGCCTCACACCCCTCAGCAGCTTTGGGCCCTTGGCTGACTCCCAGGCAGTGCAGGCTAGCCCAGTCCAGGAGTGTGCAGCCTGGCTTGGGTCGAGCTGTCACATCTGGATAAGCAACTGGGGGCTGAGAGTCCCAGGGCGGCCTGGCCCAGCAGGTCAAGGTGCCATAGGGGGCCATCAGGTCCAGCTGGTGTAGGCCGGCAGTAGGGCCTGTTCTGACCTGGGTGCTGCATGGGACCCTCCAGCTGCCACCACCTACACCAGGCAGTCCTGAGGGGTCACAGGCTAGCCCAGCACACTGTCGTTGAATGCCAGGCAGACGACAGCCTTCTGGTGGCCGCCATACTCTCTCTTGATCTCTCCAGTCTCCACACACCAGAGCCGGGCCAGGTTGTCCGAGGAAGCTGGAGGGGGAGATTGGGCAGGGCTCAGAGCAGAGGTGCAGGCCAGGCAGGTGGCCCTAGCAGAGGGGGAGCCGCAGCCAAAGTGGGCTGGCTGTGGAGGCCAGTGCTGGGAGGCCAGGGATGGGGAGTCCGGGGCGGGGCTCACCAGTGACGATGTACTGGGAGTCCCCCGAGAAAGCACAGCCCCACATCCAACCACGGGAGGACTCCCCGGGGTTGCCGCTCTTGATGCTCAGCTCCGTCATCAGGGAGAAATTGGACGTCCTCCAGATCTTGCACGTCTGATCAGCCGAGCAGGTGGCGAGGAGCCTGGGGGATGGGCGTGGGGGCGTGTCCAGCAGCAGCCACTCCACCCAGCAGCCCCTCCCGTCTCCAGCCCACAGCCCAGGCAGGTCCCCTCCCGGGCCAGCAGGCCCTGCACGCACGTGGAGTCGGGGCTGAAGCGGCACTGCAGGGCGTAGCGCGTGTGGGCGGGGATCTTGGTCTTGGGGATGAGCTGGGTTACCTCGTCACCAATGCCCCCCGTCAGATTCCAGACATAGCAGTTTCCCTAGAGGTCAGGAGGACCGTCACGGGGGACCCGAGGCCTCAGGTCTGAGACACAGGGAAGGATGCCCTGGGGGCCAACACTGGGGTTCAACTGTGCATGGGGACCCTGGGTCAGGGGCGGACAGGCCCCTCTGGTCCTGCCTGCAGGAGGCACCTGGGAAGCCTGGCCCCAACCAAGGGCCACACCTGGCCAAAGACTCAAATTCCCCTTCCTGGAGGATGCCGATGGTCAATGGAAGCACACGGGAGAGGGCACCAGCTAGAGGGACAACATGACAAAGGCCAGGAGAAAGGAAATCCGGGGGCAAGAGGGACAAGTGACACGATGGGATTAAATGGAGTTAACGGAAAAAAATGAGGTTGGAGAGAAGAACAGGGGCCACACCACGGCAGCCTAAGGGCAAGGCCAGTAGCCCTGGGTCTCCCCAGGGGAATGATGCCACCTGGCTGGTACTGACGAGGCACCACTAGAAGCATCCAAGAGAGAACGGGTCAGGGGTCGGGGGAGGTCAAGGAGGAGGAAAGGAGGCCTCAGAGAGTGTGTCAGCTGTCATGGGAAATGAGGGTGACTGGGACCAGGAGGCAACAGAGAGAAAAGAGGGAAGTGGACCGACTTGGGAGAGACTCCAGAAAGCGGAGTGACCGGCCTGCAGACAGGGCCAAGGCATTGGGAGCGACATTCACGCTTCTGGCTTTGCTGGCAGGGTGGGTGTTAGTGCCTAGGATAGGGGAAGCAGGAGGGGGGCACTAAGGGACATCCAGGAATAAGCCCACCTGCAGAGGCTAAGGGCTGAGTGCCAAGCTGGCCCCACCCAGCACCTGCCTCCAGGACTCACAGCGCTATTGACAGCTGCCATGTAGCTGGCGTCAGGGTCAATGTGGGCAGACGTGATGGAGACCTCGGGCTCGGGGATCAGCTGCTCGTTGTGGTCTGTTTTCAAGTCCCAGATGTGGATAGCCCCGCTCTGGTCACCCACGATGAGCTCTGCCTGGGGTGCAAGGGTGGTGAGGCAGGACCCAAGCCCAGCCCTCCAAAGTCCCAGAGTGCCTGGCCCCATAAGCACCCCTCACCTGGTTGGGGTGCAGGCACACGCAGTTAATGGGTGCGTTCACCTGGAAGATCCGCTGGCACTGCAGGTTCCGGGACCTGTGGACCGGGCCAGGGCACATGCTGTCCATCTGGGCTTGTTGGTGCCCTACCCAGATGGCCTTAGCCTGGCCACTCCTCCCCTCCCTCTGCTAAAGGACCTGCCTCTTGGGAAATACTCGAGACGCAGGGCCCTCCACTCCAGCAGGGAGCCTAAGCCAGTGGCTGGTGGAAGGGGAATAACACGCTGGCTCCGGGCTCAAGGCAGGACTCGCGCTTTGATGCAATTCACTCTCCTCCTGTCCTCACTTCTCTCACTGAGTAGCCCACAGGAAGCTCCCTATTTCAGCCTCTGCTTGGAGAGAACCCAACCTAAAATGGTCCCTCAGAGCAGCCCAGCCCAGCCCCAGGCAGCAGGCCCCTCCCCACCGCACCTGAGGTCCCAGATCCTGGCTGTGCAGTCCTCGCCGCCCGTGTACATCCAGCGGCCGTCTTCGTGGAAGCCCACAGACGCGATGTTCTTGTTGACGCCATCATAGCTGATGATGGGGTTGGGGTTATTGGAGTTGAGATCATACATGCGGATGTGCTGGTAACCTAGGGACACAGGCTGAAATGAAGCCTGGTTGTGCTCAGGTCGACCCACCAGAGGTCAGGGGTTAGAGATCAAGGGTCACAGATACCTGCAGCAGCAATCATACTGCGGTCTGGTGTGATCTCCAAGGCATTCACCTGCTGGGACTGTTAAGGAGGATGATGGGAAGGCAACCCTGAGGACAGGGGCCCCCAGGCCTTCACCATCTGGCCTTCACCCAGGCTGTGGTCCCCACATGAGGCATCCCTCCAGCGCCGCCCTGCCCGCCCCAGGTGGAGGATACGGAGTCCTGGTGCTGCACAGTCCGGGTGCAGATGCCGCTGTGGGCCTGCCAAAAGCGCACGGTGTGGTCGTAGCCTGCAGTGGCCAGGATGACTGGGTCACTGCCCACCGTGCCTGGGGACGTGTTCATGGTGTGGCCTGCACTGGCCCTAGAGCTGAATAGCAGTGGTCAAAGGTCAGGGCATCTGCAGAGAAAGATGTAAAGTACTTAGAGGACCCACTGTGCTAAACAGATTACAGACCCACGGGGCGCTGCCGAATGGCGCTTATCATTCCCAATTTAGAGTTGGGACAACAAGCGGAGGTAGGTTCAGGGACACGCGTCACACGCGTGACACCCGGCTCCGGGCGGCTCCGGGGCTCCAGGGCGCGTGCTCCATCCCCGCCCCACGCACCCGGCGGGGGCGCCGTCCCCCCCGCAGCCGGCAGGGGGCAGTCACGCGCGGGCGCCACTCTGCCGCAGGGGCGGGCTGCGCGTGCGCAAGGCGGCGGGTGGGCCGGGGAAAGCCGAGCCCTGCGGCTGCGCATGCGTAGCAGGCCGGCGGCGGGCCGTGATAGGAAGGGGCGCGGTCTGGCTGGACCCCCGAGCTCCCCTGTCCTCCGCCGACCGCCCTTTCTCCGTCCTGCTGGTCGGCTTCCCCTAGCCGTACTCTCCCAGCCACCCAGCAGCCGGTTCCCGGCCCCTGGCTCGCGGCCTCGTACCTTACGGGCGACTCCGCACTCCGCTGTGTCCAGGACGGCGAGGGGAGTCGGAGCGAGTCGATCGAGGTCGAGCGTAGAGTTATCGATAACTCCCTAGGGCGAGACCATGGCGCGGGCGGGGGTGGATGGGACGAGACCAAAGTTCTGGGGCAGGGGGTTCCCGCCGGGAGGAACCCGGAGAGGTTTCTTGCGCGGCCGCGGGCCCGGCGCGAGGTGGAAGGAAGCTGCGGCTTTCTCTCCGGCCTCCTCCCCACTGGCACCTGCCCTTCTGACACGGCTGTCCGTTTCCCAGGCTGTCGGGTCGCGCCGTTCCCGTGCCCTCCCTGACCCACTACTGCGCCACGCTGGGCTAGAATTGGCTGAAAATTACAGGACTTGAGTTCAGACAACGAATAATTTTTTTTTTTTTTTTTTTAGTGTAAGTATATCCCGGACGTTGCATGGGAAATACTTATGCTAAAAAAATTTTGCTGGGCATCCTGTAGTTGTACTCACTAGATCTGGTACCCCAGCCCCAGCCTGACCCTTGGGACATCCCACTGAGCCCAGGGTCCCCCTCAAAACCTCAGGCCCTCATTCCAGCTCTGTGCGCTCCACGCCGGTGCCCTCACCCTTGAGACTGGCTCTCGCATGGTTTTTTCCCACTGCTCTTACAGGTGTGACTGCACCCCTTCCTCTGGCCGCAGAGGGGGTGCCTCTTGTCCCTTGACCAGGCCATAGTTCCCAGGAGCCTTCCTTCCTATACCTTCACCTCCTCTCCTTCCTGCCCCTTAGCCTTTAAACACTATAAAACAATCCCAGACTCTCTTCGTTAAAGAGCGGTCCTCACCATTAGACCACGTCCTCACCTCCCACTCATTCTGCAACCCCAGTCATCTGCCGTTTACCCCAGCTCTCTAGGTCTCCAGTGGAAATTCCTCAAGGCCACTGACAATCTCACTTTGCTAAATCCAGTGGATACTTTTCCTTCCTTCCTCACACCCGTTTTTTTTGTTTTGTTTTGTTTTGTTTTTTTGAGTCGCAATCTCCCTTTCTCACCCAGGCTGGGTTGCAGTGGTGCAATCTTGACTCACTGCAAAACCTCTACCTCCCAGGTTCAAGGGATTCTCCTGCATCAGCCTCCTGAGTACCTGGGATGATAGGCGTGCGCCACCACACCTGGCTGATTTTTGTATTTTTAGCAGAGATGGGATTTCACCATGTTGGCAAGGCTGGTCTCAAACTCCTGACCTCAAGTGATCCGCCCACCTCAGCCTCCCAAAGTGCTGGGATTACAGGCATGAGCCACTGCGCCCAGCCT